CGGCAGCCAATTGCTACAAGAATCAAGATTTGCCACAGAAACTGCCTAACTGAAACTAACAGAACATTTCTACCTACCTTGTTATAACTCCGTCCAGCTGAATCCTTTTCACTAGGTTTCAGTTCCTGCAGCTGTGCATCAAGAATGTCCACCAACTGCTCCATCAGTCTCACTGAAGAACTCACATCCCCAGCAAACACCGGCCCTTTGGTATGTTTAGCCAGTTCATTGGCAAGACTAGCAGCATTTTCTCCACTTCTGATCTGAAATGACAAATACGTATTTTCTCAGAAGATTTCTTGTTCAGTTTGTGGCTTCTAGTTCTTCTCTTTGAGTACCTTTGTTGTGGTGAAAAAGAACTTTACAAATACATCAAAATCTGTAACTAATTGAGACCAACCACTTTCTCTTCATCTCAAAAGACGAAAGGTTCTCAGATCCTCAACACACAAAAGAAATTCCTGACAGTAAAAAACAAACAAAACAAAACGCAAAAGAGGAAATCTTTTAAAACACTTTTTCAGCCAGTTCTCTCACGTCACTGCATCCATTTTTAAACTTCTATTTAAAAATCTATTTATTCCAGTGACCCAGAAATTTAAATCAGAATTTAATCAGTATAATACAGAGGGTTATCTAGTGTTTGCATTTTAGAAAGGTAGATGAGGGAGGAGAAACTAAACAGTGGTACTGCATTATGCTGTAATATGAAAGGTACTAATGTCTTTTAAAGTCATTTTTACTTATTCTATCATAATCATCTGTGATATAAACATCTGCTTGCATTCTGTGGATTCAGTTGCAAACATAATGATATTTGATTTATTAGGCCAATGAACTATTTGTTTTATGAACATCAAAAGAAACAGAACTAAGTAAGAATGAAATTAAGCAAGCATGTACTCATTAAAAAGCTTAACATAGAAAATAGCATACCCCAAAACATATGTAGGTTTAACTTGCAATAAATAGTTTACAGACAAAACTATGCATAATGTTTTTACTTTTATACTCAACAAAGAGCAATGAAGCTGGTTTTAACATACAAAGCTAAATTATTTATGTTAGAAGTTAAAGCCCTTAATCACCAATGTGTACCATATTAAAAGGTTCCAACCAACCTTCTGAGCCAGCTGATTTACCCAGTGTGAGGTGCAGTTGCTGAGATCGGGGCCCTTAGGGTTCCATGTTCCAGTGGAAACCATGCAGAGATACGAGGCAGTTCCTACAACAGATGTAGAAAACAACAGTGAAATTGAAACCATTTTTCTGCCTGCATTCGGGAAATCAGCTACGATGATCCTGCTCTGCGTGTTAAATTTTGAATAAGCGTTAATGGAAGCAGTTGACAATAACTGACAAAAAGTAGGGTATAATGCAGATTATAAACAGTAAATATAAAGTCACCACAGAAATATCAGACATTTAGAGCAAACAAACAAAAAGCTGTTAATTTTCTTGGGACACATCCAAAGTGAAGCTTGTAATGAGAAAGGCAGCTGTAAGGAAGCTCACCACCGGAGTCCTCAGGCAACAATCTCAGGTTTGACCTCGGTCTTTAAGAGGGAGAGGTAATTCTGTGCCTGATCTTAAATGACTTTTACAGTTTAAAACCTTTACCTTGTCCATAGATGCTATATTACCAAAGTACAAAGATAACAGCAAAGTTAGTCACTGTTAATACCTCTTAAAAAAAAAAAAATCACCTTACTGTAACTCAGAGCCTAATTACTAAAGTTAAAAGTATATGCATGGTATTTTACAGGAAATACCTCTTGTTCCCTTGGGACAGGGTCGTTCAACCATCATTCCCCTTTGTGTCTGAGGCCACCATATCCCCCTCGCTTCTAACGCTTCGCAGAATCTCTCTGGCAGGGGAAAAATATTTGTTACAGGAGGAATTTTGGTTGTAGAAACTGCTGGAGGAGGTTTTGTCCCTTTGCTTCCTTCCTGGGATCCAGCTACAGTTGTGCTCATGGGGCCTTTCTGTGAAGTAGTGCTTGTGGTTGATACTGTGGTTTTGAACAGCTCAGCTGAAGAAGTTATTGTCACAGCTGTGGTAGGCACTATGGAAAAAAGATGAGCATATTAATCTCAGACACAACTCACACTCACATGCAGGTATGTGCATGTGAATATGCATAAGCCAAGCACTCACACACATCCAACTATCCCAAAACGAACAAGAGGAGAATTACTGAAAATATCAGTACGGTGAGGGGAAGAACAAATCTCTATTTATTCCAATTTATTTATATTCTTGGCAAAAACATGGTAGTGTATCATTTATTACAGCAATTGTTTAAGCACAATTTCATCTTATATTGTAACAGGAAACAAAGGACAGTTTTAAAGTTTCATTGTACACCACCACTAAAAAATTCAGGAAAAAAAATCTATCCTCATATAAATTCAATATAAACAATCAAATTCAAAGTGTCAACAAAAGTCTGACCTTTATAATTAGCGCAATAAAAAATTTCTAGCCAGCCACTCTACACCTTGCCAGAAAATAAATACTGTGACATCTTTCCACCCAGCAGCCATTTTTGCTTGAGAGATTTTTTAGCATGCCTGATTAGATCAAAACAGAAGATAAGCTTGGCATTCTTGTGCTGTTTTGGTAAGGAAATATCTCAGGCTTTGGCATCTTTACTTTTGAAAACTTAGGAAAGAAGAAAAAACTAGTTGCCATTAGAGACATACTGCCTCTTATCAAGATAACAGGTTAGACCAAATCATGCCTAATTCTACACCAACCCTACGTATCTTTCTGACTCCTAACAGAGACTATAAAAGGAACTAAAACTACACATGTAAAAGTGGAATTTTTTTTTTTTTTAAATAATGTTGTATTCCAAATTATTTTCCAAACTAAGACCACCAGGTTAAAAATATTACGGACTCTAATGTTTTCTCCATTAATTGTTAATTTGTTGAAACAACAACAAATCTATCAGTACAAATGGAATGCTATTATTTTAAATCAATAATAGGTTTTAAACAGTAGAGCAAGGTGTAAAGATAACTGTTTTTTCAAATAATCTTACAAAACCATTCACTGATTGTATGCTTTGTCCATAAGTGAGAAATAAACTAAAGATCCAAATTAAGTTCAGATTATCACAGATATGTTTAATATTTTAAGCTCTGGCCCATAAATATTTGTTTATATAATTCTGACCCTTTTAACAGATAATACTAAATTTATCAGAAACATACAGTGTACGCTTGTTTCCAGTTTTATAGTAGTGACTTAAACTTCTTATCAGTAAATGTACTATTACATACTTTCAACTCCCTCTTCCCTTCTATCTCCTGAGAAACTTCTTAAGCATGTGTTTTATTTCCAGGGCATAATTTACTGACCATATGAGAGATGCCTATGTACATTAGTCCAACTTCATGCCTAGCCAGCTGCTACAAAAACCTATTCAAACCTGTCTGTCTTTTTCTGGAAAGTGCTTGCCTGACATCTTGTTAAACCTCTGTCATTTTCTTTTGATTACAATGCAGCCAGGCTTTCAGTGCTTTCTCAATTAACATTTGTCAAAAGCATCACAATCTTTTGCAGAAGTGTCAAATAACTGCTGTTGAATCAAGTTTTCAAGGGGAGTAGGGAATCAGCACAAAAAAAGAGAAAAGGGCAAAGCAAATGGTTTAGGGCTGCACCATCTTATGTATCCCTTGACACTTTGCTGATTACTACATATTTAGTCATTGATAATATTTATTAACAAAACTGCAATTAGTGATTTCTTAGCTAAGCATTAGTAAAGATTCGTAACAACTGAGTCAAGGTAGATAATCAAATGATCTCCATTAAATGTATAAAGTTTCATGAAATATTGTACAGCCATATTTCCATGTGTTCTTGATAATATCTTTTCATACTTCTTCACCTTTTGACCATCAAAAGTTTAAAAGGAACCACATTAACACACTCTTCAATGTAAAGCAATGAAACATTGGGATATTATGAAAATAAACATAAAAGTGGCAAAATTAAACCCGTTTGGAACCAATTACAATTTCTTGGATTTTGCAAGATTATAGTTAAACCAGACAAATGAAGTCTCTGAAGAAGAGTAATTTATCTAATGTTGAAGCTAGACATGTAGAGGTATTTTAGAAAAAAATATTTTCCCCCACAGGTGAAGACAAGGCATCTGGTAATGATAATCCAAAAACCAAAAACACCCACTGCCATCGAGTTGATTCTGACTCATAGTGACCCTACAGGACAGAGCAGAACTGCCCCATAGGGTTTCCAAGGCTGTAAATCATTATAGAAGCAGACTGCCATATCTTTCTCCCGCAGAGTTGCTGGTGGGTTCAAACTGCCGACTTTTTGGTTAGCAGCTAAATGTTTTAACCACTCCGCCACCAGGACTCCCTGGTCATGATAATAGCTCACACTTAGTGCTTATGTGCCAGAGGCAATGCTAATCACCATTCATGTATTATCATATTGAATCCTCACTACAACCCATGAAGTTGGCACTATGATTATATTCCTTTTACAGTTGAGGACACTGAGGTACGGAGAAGTTAAGTAATTTGCTCTAGGTCACTTGTCCACACTTTTATTAAATGTTGTGATTTCTTTTGTAGGTTTTCATAAACTTCAGGAAAGTATAGAATCCCCCAAAGCAACTTGCCCTTATTTGGAGCATATTAATTGACGCTGTATTCTGTTTAAGTCTAAAAGGAAAGATATGGGAAGATAACATAAGACATTAGAGCAATAGCCAGTAAAAAGTTTCATAATGAAACTTACGTGGCAAAAGGTTCAAACCACAAGGATATATCCTATGAATAGTATTAGAAGACATGACAACTCATACTATAATAACAGAATTATATCCAAACCCTATTTGACAGAGATCTTTCCTAGAGTTATCAGGATGCCAAATCAAACATCCAGATTAACTGATTTAGTATTCTGCCTACCATTTTTCATTTCTGAGTACAGAGACCTAGAAATGGTGCTAATAAGCATATTTATAGATACCTAGGAAGATTTCAACAAACATACAGAATGGTTAATTTATTACGGTAGTGTTTACTAACAGCTTGCTAATTATTACCATCTTTTTCCTGCATGGAAGGGTCTCAGTACAATACCCATTTATGCTAAGGGTAATTTTCCTTCACCCAGGTCAGAGAACTCACCTATTGTTTACTGAATGAACTCCAGCTAGAGTGAGTCTGTAGCCCAATAAAGCAAAAGTGAGCATTCATTAAATTTATCCTTACTCAATATCTACAAACACTGATCATCTTTTACTGAGTATTCATTATCAGGGGAAAGATGTTTCAGGAAATATGTATTTAATGCTAAACATTTCCTAAACAAATAAACATACTAGCTCTCCTGCTAAAAGTTTTCCCGTGTATTACCTCACAACTAGTCTTAGATATTCAGGCATTGTCAAAACTCAAGTAAAGATACAACATTTTTCCATAATATTTGGAATATCAAATTTGCAAACAGATTAAATAAATCTAAAGCACATCAAATTAAGAACTAGAAAACACTTAAAATAGGACTGAAAAACATTTAGCCCTAAGCGCATTATGTAGAGGAAGAAGGTGAAAGAGGAAAAACAGACCTAGTTTAGGGGAATGGAGGAAATGAACTATGCAGAGATCACAGAAAGCTAAAAATTCAAAGAAAAAAAAGACGTATTTGAAAATCATTATCAGGGCACTGAAATAATATGCTTGTGCTGTTAGCAATGAAAAGGCTTAGATTTATAAATGGGGAAAAGTACTGAAGCTAATACACTGTGAAGCAGTCCACAATGAAAGATAAAAGGAATAGATAATTTTGTAGCACAATTTATGCCTTGCCCACATACATACAGGCAAACCAGTATATAAGACTTTAACTGTGAATTTCAGCCAAAGTAGTCCATCAGTACTTTAAGACTGGCAAAGACCTAAATTCTCTGTACTATCATTTCTTGGATCTTGCCTCTGAAAGGTTGACAGTGGCTTATTGGTTTGAATTAAACTCACAGGCCAGAAGAGTTCTGCAGGACCCCACCTACGTGCATAAAGATCTCAGCACAATCTATAGATAAGAGACAGGAGTTTATAAAAGCATATGAAGATAAATTATAAGGAGGTAGTGAGCAAGAGAATACGGGTAAAACAGCAGCAAGAGAAATTCAGGACAGATAAAACTTTTTATCAGTAAGGGTTAAATTGGGGGTCAATAAGTATTGTCACTTTCTGGGAAGATTTAAGAATGGCTAGCTATTTGTGAGGACAAAACACAGTTGTGGGAACTCACAGTTCCCATACATGTCTTAAGTTCTCATTTTCAAGGCTAACTGCTGTTTCCAAGAAGCATCTAAATTATCAAAGATTTTTTTCATCTGAAATGGATCAAATTATTTACTAGAATATAATAAGCCACATGTGGAGACCATTCACCGAAGACATTTGTCCAGGGCTTTGAATGGCTAGATTGGGTTCAAACCTCTACTGAGAATTTGCATTTCTAACAAGTTCCCAGAAGTTATACTTAAGAATCACCTGGGGATTTTGTTTAAATGTAGACTCTGATTCAGTGTATCTGGGGTGGAAATGCAAATTCTCAACAGGGAGCTTGTTAGAAATGCAAATTATCAGCAGGAGTTTGAACCTGAATGAATGGGTTCTAAGCCCTGTTTGTGATAAGTAGATGGTCAATGATTCTTTGTTGAATTGAAACTTAACTTTAGTCACAATTCTCCAAGTGTTGCCTATTACGGAGCCCTGGCGGCACAGCGGTTAAGAGCTACAGCTGTTAACCAAAAGGTCTGCAGTTCAAATCCACCAGGTGTGCCTTGGAAACCCTATTCGGGCAGTTCTACTCTGTCCTATGGGGTTGCTATGAGTCAGAACTGACTCGACGGCAATGGGTTTGTGTTTTCTTTTTTCCTAATTGAGGGGAAGAGATTTACTGCCACCCAAGACAAATATAACAGCTGTGTCAGAGTAATATAGGTTATAAATAAGGTTAACATAAGGGTCGATGCAATTATCAGATTTTGTCAATGCCTGAACTCTGCCTTCTGACAAACCTATAGGATAAAGGAGAAACTTGTAGGAAAACAACTGAGAAATATGAAACATCTCAAATTGCCAGCTTTGAGAGCAAAAAATATATTTTTAAAATAAATGATTCTAAGATACTATAAATGAAAATGTTATGCCCTAAAAGAAGATTTAATTACTGAAAATTTAACAATGGGATGCTACTGCTATAGTTTTGAACCATATAACTCCAGACATAGATGGCTTAGAGACAGGGACCCTGCACTAAGGCAATATGTCATTATTGTTCTTATTTTATTAACAAAAACCAAAAACTTTTGCATTCTATACAATGACTCAAATTAGAATCACAGTTAGAAAAGTCTGTGACTTCTGCTTTGGACGTCTTGATCTTATGACAATATTTAGACTACGTATAGGTATATATTTGTAGTTATGAGTCATGTTCTGTTAGCTGTATTGCTTTAACCTAATAAGACATTAACCTCTGTTTCAACCTGTTTAGAAGATTGATTTAATTACTTCATAGAACTTTCTGGTCCCTAAATTTTTGAAGTAACTCAATAATTTGAAAATTCCAGTTAACTCAATAAATTCAAATACTAATTCCAATCTGAAAAATACAAACATCAGTCTTCAAAGAGAAAAGACCTATAATTTGTGCAACCACTGCAATAATATATTAATAGGTTATTATTTTATCATGAGTATGAGGTAATCTTATTTTAATAAAACATTCATTTAATTCACCCTCAAACATTGTTTCCCACAGAGTTGAACTCACTTAATAAAGTCAAATATATTTCCAAAGATTTAGCATTGCTTTCTAAAAGTAACAATCCTTTAAAAATATACCAAAAGTGAAGACAAAACAATGCTAAGAGGTCTGTCTTCCATAAATCATTGCTTCAGATCATTTAATGCTTAGTCCTTGTATGACAGTTAAGAGTCACAGAAATACTGACTTACACCTGTCACTGATTCATTAGCAAATAGCAATGTGTAATTTTGCATGATGATATAGAAAGATGTTGGAAGACTCCCTTTCCTACCCAGAAAGCAGCTGCCAAAACTTCAGAACACTTACGCCTGGCATTGAACACCTAGCCTACCAATTCTTCTGGGATTCCTAACACACCACTTCCCTTAACCACTGGCGCCAAGAAGTTAAAAGGTCTGCACATAGATTGTAATCAATTTAGAAGTCAGGTAGGAAAAAAACAAAGCTAACAGGTTTGTAGCTGGTATTATATTTTTAGCAATAAAAAGCTAAACTGATTAATGGTGTCACAATTTTTTGAAGATAATACTTTAATAAAGAATTTTATAAAAAGGAAATGGACCAAAGTAAGGCTAAAATTATAGGCTATGTGATAATATGAATTGCTATAACATTACTCTCTGTGCTTTAATTATGAAAAAGAGATCTCAGTGTATTGAAATAAATAGAAAAAAAACTAACAAGCCTTTTGAACATAATCTCTTCACAAAACTGAAAAAGCAAACATTCTTACCTTGGGCAGGATCAGGTGGACCAAACTCCAGAGAATATCGTAAAATGAAGTTATTGTTCCACACATAGAGTTGATTATCTCTTGGATTGTAATCCACTGCAGCAATATACTGGTACTGGTTGGGGAAGGGAACATCTACATACTCTCCTCGGTTTAATCGGGTGTTGTAGATGTAATCAATTGCGTTCTTGCCGGTTTCACTTTCATTGTCTTGGTAAACTGACCTGACTACATAGAGGACTCCACAGATCATAAAAGCATTTGATGCAGCACGTTTGTCATATACAGTCTCCCACGTTGCTTCAAATCGAAGAGTGTATGGATTCAGTTGGCTAATAACTATCATTCCATTGTTCTGCTCAGTGGCATAAATGACCCATAAGCCATTTTCATCAACTGCCAGGTCGATATCAGTCTTTCCTCCCCATCTATATGGTGAGGTATCATGGTAGTTGGCATAGTTAATTATGGCCTCACCACTCTTAATTCTAGTCCTCAAGTCAAATTTCACAATATTCCTTGTTCTTTCTTTGTTGAAGAAGACAGCACCATCATATACCACAAATCCAGTACCATCTACTCGATTTGGAAGTTTATATGTTGTTGTCTGGCGACTGTTTTGGAAATCTTCTATAGAAGCATACTCTATTAATGTATCGGTACGGTAGGGAGTCCAGGGCATGAAATAAATTTTATCTGCAGCCTGGAGAGGGTCCTTGCACCAAGCACCTGCCTTTTGTTCAGCTTCATATATACACGGCGAGTCCACAATTGCTTTCAAGGTCCCAGGACACACAAAAACTAACAGTCACAGAGAAAAGACAAGAATTAAACCAAGTTAAAAAATTATATAAGAAAACACAAGCTTTAATGATCATAAATCAAAAAGAAAAATTAATTTTATTAGCATTCAATTGTACCAAAATTTCTGCTTAATACAAGTACCACCTTCTCTCTTGAAGTTACATTAACTAATGTACCAGCATACAACAAAGTGGCTGGAGTTTATTTTCATAAATACAAAACTAGGTTTAAGATCATTAATAACTGAGCTGACAATTTAAGTTCTTGCTGAGTGTTTTTATCTTATAATTTGGTATTTTATATTTTAAAATGTTGAACTTGTATATAAAAGTGTACAAAGTATTTCATTTCAGTACCAGATTTCGTATCCTCTGCTAAACCTCCTATAAACCCCCCAAAGCAAAAAATCTCAAATAAAGCAAATAAAATGGAAAACCCAATGCGAAGGCTTATTTAGAACTTTTAAAGAAGTTAGACTGAAAACAAAGGTGCTTCAATTTAAGGAACATAAATATTTGGAAAATGCAATTAGGAGCAGATAAAAGTAAATACAAGGAAAGCAGTGGATGAAACGACCAAGAAACCCTGTAACCAAGGCATGCTATGGAGAGGGTTCTGGAAGCCAGGCAAGATGACACTTAATAATAAGAAAATATCCAAGGGTGTCAGAAAAAGAGATAAAGGGTGAAAAAAGAACAGAGAAAGGAAACCACCCCTCCTCGCAGACTTCAGAATTAATACCCCCCCATCACCAGATTTAGCAGTCAAATAATTTCACTGTAAACAGTCGGCTTCTTTATGAGGTGCATTTATGAGATCCTGCTGATTATTTTAATATCAGAAGTATCGTGAGGGAAGGGGAGGGAGGAGGTTAACATCCCTAAGGCACATAACAGGGAGCTGGGGTTTGACTGTATACGTTATTTACCTTTTTGCTCCACTTCTATTTTAAGCATCGGAAGAAAACATAAAAAAGGTACAAGGAAAAAAGAAAGAAGATTAAAATAAATTGACTATTAGTCTATGACTGAATTCGCAATAGATGCTAAATATAGGAGAGTAAGAGCTGCACTACTTTGGATAAAGAGAAACACACAACAGGAAAACCTAGCAAGAGAAAGATTCTAAAGTTACATAAAAGAACATGGATCAATCATTTTAGTAGATTAAGGAGGCAATACAAATATGTTGGCATGTTGCTTCACTTAATGTACCTGAATAAATAATGAAACTCTTCACTAATGCATAGTATACACACTCTTGCCTTTCCAAAGTCACTCAGCATTCTTATCAAGTTTTACTTCGTATATGTATGCTCCAGACATAGATTCATGCATAGGTGTATCATCTCCATTTATCTTATGTGCAATTATTAAATTCACTAAAATTAGATAACCATAACAATAGGAAAATGAATTTTTAAAAATGACAATTAAATTGTGGAGATGAAGTTAATTTAATAAATACTGATACGGTCACATTTTTCCCAAGATATTCATGTTAGAGGATATATATATATGATTATGCATCTTGATACATGTTTCAACTGTTTTTCTATTATCTTCTATTTCTAGAATAATGCATCTTATACATTTTTTAAAAATGCCTCCTTTTTAGAAATATATAAATCACCCCCAACCCCAATAGGAATTTTGACAGGGTAGGTTAAGGTAATGCCTTTTCTCTCCATTAACAATTTAAAAATTTACTTATTTAGGTTTACATTTATTTTATCTTATAAAATTCTTATTAAATTATATTATATATCTCAAACATTATTACTAAGTCTATAAAAAAAAAGTAAGCATAATACATACAAGGGAAAAGCAAGCACAGTAGGCAAGGAGAAAAAGGAAGAAAGAATTATGGTTAGCATATTATAACATTTTCTACCATCATCAATTTATACAGAAAGCAAGCTAGCATGCAAAGCCAATCATACTGAGCATTCAAAGCAAATACATCGCCTCCACAGACCCCAATAAAAGGTAAATGCTTTCATAAAACAAACCTGATTAGTAGAGTTAAATGACAAAAAAAATCCTCCCTCCAATAAATTTAAAGAAATGGAATATGCAGGAAGGGTGCTATACAGGAATCTTGCCAGTGAATCATTTGCAAATAACTACAAACCATAAAATATTATTTTAGATTGTCTGTAGGCTTTGAAGTATGTTGCCTGAATTTCATAAAATGACCAGATTAATGTCTGTGCATCTTACTCTTCCCTTATTAAAATGCATTAGGGTGTGCTAATAGTACATTTCCGAACTGGTTACTCCAAGACACTATAGTTGCACATTTCATTAGGATGTCTTAGCTTGATTAATTTTTAAAAATTGCAATAACTCAAGATTAAATATTGACCTGAAACACCTTTGGGAGAAACATATCACACAAATATTTTTGCCATAAGAATAGCATATAACCTTTTACATTGAGGCAACACCTCCCCGATCCAACTTGGTCTATTCAACTACTTTCAGGAAACATACTTGTTCCTAAAATGTGTAATTCTGATTATAACCCAGTAAACAGAAGAAATTCAGTGTTATTGACCTGGAGACAATACTTTTTTATAAACCACTAGCCCTAAAATGGTTCTTCAGTGAACAGCAACATTATACCTGCTTAATCAATAACAGAAGGGCGTGGTGGGAAAGTGAGCATAAGAAAAATCATTAGTGGTGTCACTGCTAAGGCTACGTTTATATACAGCTGTGTGTTTTTTAGGAAAGCATGGCTTTACTGAAATAAATCAATTAAATGTAAATGAAGGGGACAATACATTTTAAAATACGTTTAATATTAAATACAGAACTTAAAACTTAAGTTTGATAAAGAATGCATAAAGTAGATTTTATGTTTTCCCTTAATTGAAAATCGCTGGATTTTACTATTTGAAACACTAAGATGACAGTGCAGTTGCTGAGCAAAGTATCAAACAGGGAAGGCTCCACTGTTCTGTGATTTAACTGATAGCAATTATATTCAAGGAAAAGAACACAGATATGAACTATATATAATTTAAAAGTAGAATGAAAGTTGAGAAGCAACACTCACATGTAAAAATAAGTAACCAAAGAAAATCTTTTGATGTTTGATGAATCAAATGAGATATGAATTTTTAAAAGAAAAGTAGAAATCCTCACATAATGATTTTACAAGAATCCAAGGGACAGATATCTGTCAAATCACCTTTGTAAGAACATTTCAAAATTCCATCAACCCGGAAGAATGTAAAAATACAATAAAATTAATGAAATCAGCATTCTCCATCACATGCCCAGTATATATTGCACTTTGTCTTAAAAGACTGTATGAATTAATTCATAACAATACATTTACTTTTCTATAGACCAAACACACATATGTGACCCATCAACATTAGCGTAAGACTACATGGATATGCAAGACAAGAAATTGACCAAAACAAACTAAAGCCTACATACTCTGTTATCTGAAGTGACACACTATTTCATTTTGAATAATCTCACTGGTTTATTCATTAATAATAATTTAATCAGTAATAGCTGTTACTATTTTTCTCATCAAATAAAATTTATAGTTAAATAAGCTATAATTAATGATAATTTGAAATAAAAGAGCACAAAAATCAAAGCCAAATCCTGCCTGCAGGATGCAAAATTCCAATGTGATTAATCTCCTTTATTCTCCCAGATCTTTATGACTCATTAGGATGTCTTTTAAATGCACACACATTCAATTCCTAACACTTTGGTTAATGACAAAGGATGCCCTGTAAAAATACATTTTTGACACAGACATTACCTGGCTAAGTATATAAGTCACATATAATGCAGGTGTCTGTGTATAAATATACAAAGTAAAACAATTAACAGCATTTCTAAAGGTTTCTGTTGAGCAAATTCAATGTAAAAATTTCAGAAACGATGGGAAATTTCTGAAATTGTTTTAAGAGTACAAGGAAACAGTTTGGAACGTATAAGCTCCTGGAGAATTTGCTCTGGGTGGAAACTGGCATCAAACCAACTGGGAAGAGACACATAATAAATGTTATCTGATGATGACAATTTTCATCAACTGAGCAAAGTGTACAAAAAGTATGCAAATGTCACAAAGTACATAATCACTATTAAAACAAAGTGAAAGCTAGAGGCTTAAAATTAAAGTAACTCTATGGGATGGGTATAATGGACAAAAGAATAAAGGAGTGGTAAATGAGGGGAAAAGATAAGGAAATACATGGTCCTTCACAGGATTAGAACAATCCAAAAAGATCATTTGCATTAAATTTTAATATTAATAAAAATCATGTAATTTATAGTGTGCCACTACTGTAAAGTATATAGGAATTATAATTTTTTTTATTCTTTAGCAAGGAGTAGTGGGGGGAAACAAAGCCATAGACTTATTTCTGCCTCGTGCACACATCTAGAAAGGTAACAGAAAATTAATTACTGTTGGTTTTTTTGAAAGGACAAAAAACTAAAAAGAACAAATACTTCTGAGTATAGGTATTTGAAAGTTTAATGCACAATGTACAATACTTCTGGAGAACTGAAAAAGTAAAATTTTCAAAGTTAGATGTTCCAGAAGATATCCACAATTTTCCTTTCTTAAACAGCACAAGAAATAATTTAAGTCAGGAAATAATATTTGCTTAACATTGTTCTTGGTCTATAGACTAGATCACAGGAACTGGCTCCAGAAAGACACAATTCTTGGCAGCTCTGACTGATTCCACTGTTTGGGAATGGATGCTGTATTCCTTCTCTAATTTGAGGACAGCAATCATGCTAAATTCAAGTGAAAGTGACTTTATGGAACAAAATAATTTTGGTTAGCTCAAAACAATGTAACGTTCCTTTAGTGGCACAGGAGACTGATACGTAAGTCACCAACACTACACATAGGAGAAACAATATAAAGATCAGTGCACTCAGTAGGCTTCCCATCCTACAAATGGTATAGAAAAAAACTGAAAACATAAAAGCATCCATTTCACAGGAACACAGGAACACAAAGCAGGGATGGAAAGAAAAGATAATCTGTATTTGGCCCTTAACTGATACCCCACAAAAGCCAATTTATCAAAACTTTGGCAGAGGGGAGAGAGAGGGTGCATGTAAGAATGTACACAGTATGTGTAAGAATGTATTACATATTGGGCATACCATATCTGAATTCAGCCCTTTGGTTTTATAAGTATTGACAGGTGGACATATGAGTCTGTCAGAACTCAGTGGTCTAGTTTTTGAGGTTATGAAAACAGCCTTCAGATCAGTAAAACTACTACATAACCTTTACTTCAAAACCCATAAGTGACATGACTATTTTTTCCACGGTAGAAATAAAGAAAGCAAAAACACTAAAAAACATTGAAGAAAATTAGGCAATATATTCAAACTTTTAAGGTGTTGATGAGTTATTTTTCTATTGAAATCAATATAAACTATAACTTAAAGTATAATTCTGAGATTAGGAGGAAAGCCACACAGAATTAGAGCATTTAGCTGAAGCCTACTTGTAAATTTTTAACTGAATTTTAAATACCCTTTTGTAGGATCTTACTAAAAATGTGATGAAATTAAAAACTGAAATATGTGTTAAGATTTCACCACTACATCTGGTAAAGAAATGTTCCTTAATTGCAACTGAACAAAAAGGAAGGCACCTGCCTTAGTTACTGCAATGGTACCTTTTACAGGCACTAAAGTTACCACAACAGCAGGTAGCCATTCAAGTAGCTCACGATTAAAACTGAAGTCAATTCCTTCTTTAGAAAACTGTGAGCCAAACCAATTTGTCAGCAACTGGTATTGGGCAAAAGTACAGATTTCTATCTGCCCTATTGAATAGCTAATTCAAGTCTGTTTTCTGGAAAAAACACTAGCCTTAAAAGCCAAACACTTAAGAACACAGACAGACACTTGGCCAGTATCACACTATGGCTTCCTTCCACACTTCATGAAGCTAATTGGAGGCCTGAGTCTGTCAGTGCTCTGCATGCATAATGGTTTTGTAGACCAAAAACATATGCTTCTTCCATGTGTGTAGTCCTTCAGCATCAACAAGGAATGCTGGAGAAAGTGAAAAATACAAACTTCATACTTACTATAAGGGACACATTCATATTGGACTTCAAGGTATTTGTATGTTCCAGGGCATGGATCAGGAAATACTTCTGACCCAGTAACTACTATACATTGTGTTCGATTGTTGCACCTGGAGGAAAAAAAAAAAAAAATGAATCAAGCTTGTGTAACACAATATTTTACTGTTTATTTTTATTAAAGAAATAGAAAACAGATTTATATTTTCTTCAAGTAACCAGGACCATAAAACAAAAATTACAATTAGTATTAAAGATTCCACATTATTAGCAGTTTCAAAACCCATATTTTCTTTATGTTGTAATATTTCTGTATCATGAATGACACCAAATTTTAACTCAAAGTAAACATAAAATAGCTAACTAATCTATTATTCTACTATACATTTTAACTTGAATTTTTGATATATTCAACATATACTAGGGTTTTAGGGGGGACAATTTACCAGCTTACCAGGAAACTTGTTGCTGTACTTCAGAATTATAATAATAAAACATGGTATGACCTATATAAAGGACAGAATACACTTCAAGCATTTGGCTCAGTGCCTGGCACATACTGAGTGTCTAAGCATTGTTGTTACTATTGTTATTTCATAGATCAATATGCTTATACTTTGATATGATTATGCATCTGGATTCTTCTAAATATTTTTTCCAGTTGCCACTGAGTTAACTCCAACACATGGCAACTCCATGTGTGTGTCAGAGTAGAATTGTGCTCCACAGTGTTCTCAATGGTTGATTTTTGGAAGTAGGTCACCAGGCCTTTCTTCCAAGGCCCCTCTGGGTGAACCAGAATCTCCACCCTTTCAATTAGTAGCCAAGTATGTTAACCATTTTCAACACCCAGGGACTACTCTTCTAAATTAGTACTCCCAAAAATAACTCTAAAAAGAATAGAACATGATTCCTAGAATGTTCTATTTATTGTTCATTATAGGAAAGTATTCTTTTATTTTTGTATTGTCATAATTCATCAAGATAATTCTAATAAGATAAAATTCCAGGCAAGATCATATTTATTAAAGTTCTATGAATGGGTCCAAATGGTCTTTTTTATATTGCCTCTCTTAATGTTAAGGTTTGTAAAGGCAAGAAATACTTCCTTTATAATTTGATTTGATTACAACCCAATGGAGTGTAATGTTTGTAGAATTTTTATTATGTTTTCTGATAATATATAAATTGAGAAGTCAAAGCAAGCAGAACAAGAACATTACAACAAATTTAACAATTTGAATACCAAGTATTCTAATGCACATAAAACAACTGAACTATAAAGTGGCAATATAAAGACAGAACAAGCAGCTCAGTTTCCAACATAACAGCTCCAAAGAAGTGGGAGGAAAATCATGTTAAACAGGGGTAGGTACATTAAGTCATGCACCTTAGGGTCATTCCAACTGTAATCCCAAAATCAGGTTCATTCTTCTTTCAAGAACAGTAAAACCTGAAAAATTCTACAGGATCAAACATGCAAGTCTTAAAGTTCAAAGTATAATACAATGAAATTCATAGGAAAGTCTTAGATAATAAATAATTATAAACAGTATTACTTACAGAAATACCAAACTAATGATAATTTTTATCATAATCAATTTATACTACACTATGCCATTTCACCATTTGTCTGTCAGTTTGTCATACTGTGGTGGCTTGCGTGTTGCTGTGATACTAGAAGTTATGCCAACGGTATTTCAAATATCAGCAGGGTCATGCATAGTAGACAGGTTTCAGCTGAGCTTCCAGACTAAGAAAGAACAGGAAGGAGGACCTGGCAATCTAATTCTAAAAAAATTGGCCAGTGAAAACCCTATGAATAGCAACAGAACATTGTCTAATACAGTGCCGGAAGATGAGCCCCTCAGGTTGGAAGGCACTCAAAATATGACTAGGGAAGAGCTGCCTCCTCAATGTAGAGTCAACATTAATGACATGGATGGAGTTAAGCGTTAGGGAACTTCATTTGCTGATATAGCATGGCTCAAAATGAAAATAAACAGCTGCAAGCATCCATTAATAATCAGAATGTAGAATGTATGAAGTATATATCTAGGAAAATTATAAGCTGTCAAAAACGAAATGGAATGCTTGAAGATCAATACCCTAATCATTACTGAGCTGAAAAGGACTGATAATGGCCATTCTGAATCAGACAATATGACAATTTGAAGAGGAACGGCATCATGTTCATTATCAAAAAGAACATTTCAAGATCTATCCTGAAGTACAATGCTGTCAGTGACAGGATAACATCCATATGCCTACAAGGAAGACCGGTTAATATGACTATTATTCAAATTTATACAGCAAATGCTAATTTGAAAGATGAAAAAATTGAAGATTTTTACCAACTTTTGCAATCTGAAAATGATCAAACATGCAATCAAGATGCATGCATAATTACTGGTGATTGGAATGCGAAAGTTGGAAGCAATGAAGAAGAATCAGTAGTTGGAAAATATGGCCTTGGTGAAAGAAACACCGGAGATTGCTTGATAGAATTTTGCAAGACCAATGACCTATTCATTTGGAATACCTTTATTTAACAACATAAATAGCAGATATACACGTAGACCTCCCCAGATGGAATAAACAGGAATCAAATTGACTGTATCTGTGGAAAGAGATGATGAAGAAGCTTAATATTATCAGTCAGAACAAGGCCAGGGGTCAACTGCAGAACAGACCATCAATTGCTTGTTTGCAAGTTCAAGTTGAAGCTGAAGAAAATTAGAACAAGTTCACAAGAGCCAAAGTACAACCTTGAGTATATTTCACTTAATTTAAGAAACCATCTCAAGAATAGATCTGACGCATTGAACACTGAAGTCCAGACAAGTTGTGGAAGGACATCATACATGAAGAAAGCAAAAGTCACTGAAATGACAGGAAAGAAAGAAAAGACCAAAATGGATGTCGGAAGAGAACTGAAACTTGTTCTTAAATACAGAGTAGCTAAAATGAATGGAAAAAATGATGAACTAAAAGAGCTGAAGAGACTTCAAAGGGTGGCTTGAGAAGACAAAGTAAAGTATTATAATAAAATGTGTAAAGACTTAGAAAACAAAAAAGCCAACCACGCTTGGCATTTCTCAAGCTGAATGAACTGAAGAAAAAATTCAAGCCTCAAGCTGCAATACTGAAGGATTCGATGGGCAAAGTATTAAATGACGTGGAAAACATCAAAGGAAGGTGAAAGGAACACACAGAGTCACTGTACCGAAAAGAAGTGGTCGACATTAAACCATTTCGGGAGAAAGCATATGATAAAGAACTGGTAGTAAAACAGGAAGAAGTCCAAGGTACACTGAAGGTATTGGCAAAAATAAGGCTCCAGGAATTGACGGAATATCAATTGAGATATTTCAGTAAACAGATGCAATGCCTGTCTATGTCAAGAAATTTGGAAGACAGTTACTTGGCCAACAAACTAGAACAGATACATATTTCTGCCCATTTCAAAGAAAGGTGATCCGACAGAACGTGGAAATTACTGAACAACATCATACGCAAGTAAAATTTTGCTGAAGATAATTCAAAATCAGTTGCAACAGTACATCAACCGGGGAACTGTCACAAATTCAAGCCAGAATCAGAAGAACATGTGGAACCAGGGATATGGATAACATTGAGAAGAATGGGAATTCCAGAACACCTAATTGTACTCGTGTGGTAGCTGTAGGTTGACCAATAGGCAGTTGTCCAAACAGAACAAATGGATACTGCGTGGTTTAAAATCAGGAAAAGTGTGCATCATGGTTGTAGCCTTTCACCATACTTATTCAGTCTGTATGCTGAGCAAATAATCTGAGAAGCTAGACTATATGAAGAAGAACACGGCATCAGGATTGCAGGAAGACGCATTAACAACTTGTAATACGCAGATGACAAAACCTTGCTTGTTGAAAGCGAAGAGGCCTTGAAGCACTTACAGACTGTTTTAGTTATCTTGTGCTGCTGTAACAAAAATACCACAAGTGAATGGCTATAACAAAGAGAAATTTATTCTTTCACAGTTTAGGAGGCTAGACATCTGAATTCAGGGTGCCAGATCCAGGGGAGGGCTTTCTCTCTCTTGTCAGCTCTGGGGGAAGGTCCTTGTCATCAATCTATCCCTGGTGTAGGAGTATCACAGCACAGGGACCCTGGGTCCAATGGATGCACACCATTCCTGGCTCTGCTTTCTTGGTGGTAGGAGGTCCCCCTTTGTCTCTGCTCGCTTCTCTCTTTTACATATCAAAAGAGATTGACACAAGCTACAACCTAACCTTGCAGATTGAGTCCTGCCTCATTAATATAACTGCCTCTAATACTGCCTTATTATCATCATATAGGAAAATCACATCAGATGACAAAATGGTGGACAATCATACAATACTGGGAATCACAGCCTAGCCAAGTTGACATACATTTTGGGGGGACACAATTCAATCCATAACACTGAAGAAGATCAATGACTACAGACTTCAGTATGGATTACACCTCAACGTAAAGAAAACAAAAATTCTCACAACTGGACCAATAAGCAACATCATGATAAATGGAGAAAAGACTGAAGTTGTCAAGGATTTCATTTTACTTGGATCCACAATCAGCGCCCATGGAAGCAGCAGTCAAATTTGCATTGGGCAAATCTGCTGCAAAAGACGTCTTCAAAGTGTTAAAAAAGCAAAGACGTCACTTTGAGGACTAAGGTGCACCTAACCCAAGACATGGTATTTTCGATTGCCTCACATACATGCAAAATCTGGACAATGAATAAGGGAGCCTGAAGAATTGATGCATTTAAATTATGGTGTTGGCAAAGAATACTGAATACACCATGGACTGCCAGAAGAACGAACAAATCTGTCTTGGAAGAAGTACAGCCAGAATGCTCCTTAGAAGCAAGGATGGCAAGACTTCATCTCACGTACTTTGGACATGTTATCAGAAGGGACCAGTTCCTGAAGAAGGACATCATGCTTGGTAAAGTAAAGCGTCAACGAAAAAAGGGGAAGACCCTCAACAAGATGGACTGACTCAGTTGCTGCAAAAATGGGCTCAAACACAGCAACAATCAGGAGGATGGCGCAGGACCAGGCAATATTTCATTCTGTTGTACATA